GGCCGCCACGTGCAGCGCTGTCTCCCCCTCGTCCTCGCTGGGCAGGTTGACGGTGGCCCCGTGTCTCAGCAGGAGCTTGGCGCATCTGCGAAGAGATGGGGAGGCTGGCGCGTGGTGGGTTTGTGGGGCATGGGCTGGAGTGGGAGCCACGGGGGATCGTGGGGTGAGAGGCGGAGTGGGTGGGGATGGGGGTCAGAACGGCGCTGGGCTCCCACAGGGGTTGTGGCACTTGAGGGTTTTGGGAGGGATCAGCAGAAGGTGGGGAGGGCGACCCTGTGCCCTGCTGCCCACTGTGGTGGTGGTGGTGGTGGTTTGGGGCAATGTCTCCCACTTGCCCTTGACCAGCATCATTCAGGAATGGTCATCCCTGACCATTCTTGTCTACCTTGACAATCCCTAACCATCATTACTCATGAATGGTCATCCTGACCATTCCCGACTGCCTTAACTGTCCCTGACCATCATCATTCATGAATGGTCACCCCCGACCATCCTTGACTACCTTGACCACCTCAACCCACCACCCTACCCACCAGGGACCGGTGATCCTTGCCTCAGCTGGTGATCAGATGGCACTGGGAGTGGTGCCCACGGTTAGCTATGCCAGGTGGGTCTGTCCTAGGGGTGAGGGGTGTGGGATGCATCCAGACGTGATGAGGACACATAGGGTGATGGTACTCTTCATGCCATCAGTCTGTTGGCTGCAGTTTCATCCCCTGGCACAGCTGTAGCCATAGGGTGTTATGGAGCTGATCTATACAATCCCACCCTTTGGCTGACATCAACAGAGCTTCTCAGCTGAGAACATCCTAAACTGCTGCCTCCACCTTAGTCTGTGCTGGGACTGAGCTGACATGGAGGGAGAACCTTGCTGACGCCTCTGTGCAGCACAAGAGCTTGGTGTGGGTTTGCCTGGGTATGGAAAAGGATTTCCCTGCTCCTGTTGAGGGACTCCAATGACTGTGTTGGGCTCCCACCCCAGAGAGGACTAAAGAATCACATTGTCTGCCCATCCTGAAAAGAAACACCTTTGCAGGTCGTTGAAGCCTGCTGAAACCAGTTTTGCTGGCTTGTTTTGTACCTGACTCTTGTGAAGATGGAGCAGCAGCACCTGCAGTTCCCAGGAGGAATAAATCAAGGTAAGCAGTCTTCCCCATCCTAAAAATCGCTGCTCCCCTCCTCTCCTTCCCTCTAACATCATTGTGCGTGGTTGCAAAGAGGGGTTGTGGCCGCTGCAAAGGGGGACGCACCGGTTCCCATCAGACCTTTCCACCTGCATCCTTCTGACAAGGGATGGGGGATAAAGATGCCCAGTATGCCCCGATGGGGTTTTTTTTTTGGTGTGCGTGTGAGTAAACGGATGTGATCAGCCAGTCTAAATGAATCAGAGTGACTGCTCCATCTCCTGCCGGGAGCCGCCGGGGCTGTTGCAGCTCAATGTCACTGCCCGGGCAGAGCTGTCGGCAGTTGGGTTAGTGCGCGGGGCCGAGCTCACCGCTGCAGCACAGAGAAGTTATTTCTTGGAGGGAGGCCAGACCCATGTGCCATCTAAGCGAGACCTTGGAAAAGCGGCCAGCTTGTTG